AAACAAATAAAATGATGAGCGTCAATGAAGCGAGCGAGTGGCAGAAATATTCTCTATGAGGCACTGTGAGGCGGGAGCTTGGCCCGAGTTGAGCGAACACGCCATATGCCATGTGCCATGACAGACAAGGCAACAGAGTACAGTGCTCTGTGGTTAGGTGCAACACAACTTGAGGAACAACTTGCAAATTGAATTAGTTTAACTCGACAAAGGCCGAACTGAGCTCAGCTCAGCTGAAACGTGACGAAGAGCTCTTAAAGTGTCAATCGACCAATAACACTTTTATGCACGAAACGCTTTTCGCCTTTATCCAGTAACTACTTTAAATCAATTAAAATAGAACTTTTTTCATTCTGTTTTTGTTGCTTTTGCGACTTAATTGAAAATGATTTGGTTTTTGCTAGCAAAGTCCAATTTATGAATGGCATAAAAAAAGAGATTGAAGCGATTGTGCCCGACTAGGAGATACTGTGGAAATGCGAAAATGTCGTAGATTTACTTCTGATGTATAACTATAAAAATAATTAATGATTATATGATTGCTGTAAAAGGTAGAGAATATTAGGAGTTTGAACTGTCTGTAGAAAGAAAAAATAATTTATTAAAATTAAATACAAAAAATTTAATAATAATAATAATAATAATAAAAAAATAAAAATAATAATAAAAAAAAAATAATAAACAAATAATAATAATATTAAAAATAATGATAGTAATAATAATTATAATAATAAAATATAATAAAAAATATTTTACTAATTTTAACGCAAACTTTTACACATAAACTTTTACCACATCCCCTACAATTTTAATGAGCATTAAAAAAATACAGAAAAAAATGCATTTATAATAAAAATAGATATTTGCGTTTGTCAAGCTGGAAAAATGCTGCAGCTTATGTTAACTGAGTGTTCTAGAATGTTTAGGCCAATGCGAATGACACTTAATTACACACACACACACATGCACACACATGCACATTTACACATGTAAATGTATAAATAAAAACCCTTTTAATTGCAATTAAAAAGCTTTGCCTTAACCCACACGCGAAACATAAAAAACGCTAATTAACTATCGATTGGTTTTTATGCACTTCATTGGTTAATGTGTACTTATTGTGTGTGTGTGTGTGTGTGTGTGTGTGTGTGTGAGTAGATATTTTTTGTTTGTCTGCTGCCAAATATTACAGAACAATTATAATCATTGAAAATGTTTTGTAATTAAGCATGCATGACCACAAATTTGCATTAAAATTGCTTGCATTATTAGCAGCAGCTTTTCCGAATTCCGCTGCTCGCGATATTTTTTGTAAGCAGCTTAATGGAAAATGTGAAAATCACACAGTGGATTAGTCGCGGTTTTTTGTTGCTTTATTAGTTTTTTTCTTTTTTTTGTTTATTTGCTCTATCGCTTAAGCGTTAAATTAATAATTGAAATGCCAAATTGTTGCGCCACTGAATTGGAAATTATAATACATGCATTAAGCATTCGCATTGGGAAATTCGTGTTAAATAGTCAGCTGCTATCAGAGCGCTGGCTATCTATTATCTGATATCATCTTTCGTATGAGCAGGCTGTAATTATTAATTAGTTTTATTGATTTGCTTGGCTCCTGTGTTTGTCATTAATGCGGTGCTAATGAGTCGTGTTTAGGCTGCGCAAGCAAGACAAATGGCTCGAAGAAGCTTTAATGCCCCTCAATAGTCGTAGTGTGGTATATGTGCGACTTGAGCTGAGAGCATATGTGAAGTGCAGGCAAATTTCTTTTACTATTTATAAATCATATGAAATGCTATCTTACTTAATGCCAATCACTTGGCACTTGCCAATGCTAACATTTCTTGTATGTGTCTACAGGGTATCTATTAGTCTCCACTATGCTACATTCTCTTCGCATTGCTTGTAAGCCATCCATCAATTGGCATTGACAAAAGGCTCTGAGCAAATTATGTTATGCATAAGGCTTAGCCAACTTCTCGCCCCACTCACCCACTCTCTCTCTCTCTCTCTTTCTCTCTCTCACACTAACACCTGGCTCTGTGCAGGTGTTAGCCCAACCCGCCCGCTGTGCTAATGAGCTTTAACGAAGCCAACCAAAAAGTAGGCAACACTTTGTGTGAATTTTAATTTGCCTACACACGCACACACAGCACATGAGCCGCGGTGGGCAGCCGTTAAGTTGTCTACAGCGCAACACCTACGCCGCTTGATTTATGAGCCACTAACAGCGCAGGGGAGAGCGAGCGAAAGAGAGGGGGAGACCGAGTAAGGGTGAGAGCAGTATAAACATGGCCTGTCAAATCTGCAGTGAAATAAACTTTTGCATCCCTGCTGGCAGTTTTTATATGCTAGCTATAAACTAACATTTAATGTGCAGTAGCAGTAGCACTAACTGCCACGCCCACACCCACACACACACACAAACACACACACAGCTTATCTGAAGTCTCATTGTCGTAATGCATAAAAACACACTAAAATGTTCCCACGCAATTAATTCAGAGTTTTCTCGTACTTTTTGTTTACTTAATTGGTAAACATTTTGCTACATTTTTATGGGCGCCAAGGTGAAGCACACACACACACACACACATACAGAGAGACACGCACACTTAGCTATGGCTCCATTTAATATTCCATTTTTATTGTTTAGCTGCCGTTTGTTAATTAAAACACAAAAACACGTGCGCAGCGTATAAAAAATTCAACAAAAATTTCAAGAATTTTCCAAATTTCCCGAATTTTTGGGGCAGCAAAAAAAAAAGGACTTTTTCGACTTTCCTTTTATTTTGTTTTGTTCGTTAATTTTTGTTGATACACTCCATAAATGCAATGGGAATTTAATCCTTTTAACGCCGCGTTTTCATTACATTACTGTAAATTTGGTTTACAAAATTGTAAAGGCCGCTGCAATTTGGCTTTTACTTTTGTTTGTGCAGCTGAGCAAGGGCGGCTGGGGCTGCCAAAAAAATGGAGAAAGAAAAGGAAACGAATGCAAAAAGAGATGCCTTTGCTGTGGGTGGGGGGGCTGAGTCGAGGGGGGTCGTACATAGCTGCTGTTTACATCTATGTGGATTTCATGTTGGTTTTGTTCGCATAACTGAAATTGTGCGCCATTTTTTTTATGTGTCTGCCTTTATTTTCGTATTTCAGCTATTTTGTTATGTTTGTGAGGTATTTTTTGTTTTTTCGTTTTTTAGTACATCAGCAAAAGGGTGTTTAGACTTTGTCATGAGGTAGGTAACATATCAATAGTAATGAAAGTTATGAAATGGCTTATAAATGGGAATTTAATAAATGCAGCAACTCTCTTTTTCTCTTTGTCTCTCTCTCATATTCTGACATATTCTATCTGACATATTCTATCTCGTATAGGGTATTTTATCTTCGTGTTGTTCGCTGACAAACATCATATTCCTTTTTATGTTTGAACGTTTGTGTGCTTTAGGTCGTTATGTAGAAAACAATTTCATGTGCTGCCTTGCCCTTTGCCCTTTTTTGTAGCCGTTTTTCCATCGTAATGGCGCAAAATTTTGTGGCTGGCAAAAATATGCGTGTGCCAGTGGATATATAAATGATGTAAAACATATATATATGGATATCTGCAGTAGGGTGAGCCAGGCAATTAAATTAAAATTTATAGAATGCGAGTTTTCGGCCATCTAAATAAGCTGTACAAATAAATATTAAAAAAGTGGTAAAAAATATAAAAGAAAGAACATATTTTTATTTTAAAAAATTAATTAAAAAAATAAATAAATAAATAAATAAATAAATAAATAAAAAATACATATAAAACTGCATATAAAAATATATATTAAATAAATTCAAAATTAAATAAAAATATTCAAAAAGTTATTTCTTAAGCAAAAATCTTCACTTCAATTTCATCATTTTCCTTCAACAATTAGCGCCATAATTATTTAGCTTAATTCTTAGATTTTTGCCAGCTGACTCACCCTAATGCAAATTTAACACACGCCTAAAAAAAAGAGGTTAATATGCGCCCACGCTCGTCCTGTGTGTGTGTGTGTGTGTGTTTTTAGGGACGCATTCAATGCCAAAAATATGTAAAATTTCGGTTTCCCACCAAAGCCAAAGGCAAGGAATGTTGCGTAATGCGCCCAGGCACGGCGGCACAAACAAAATAAGAACAGAAGCAAACAACACATATTCGACATAAACATCAAATTATAAGAGTTGCAACACGAAGCCAGCTTTCACAGAGCAGCAGCTAACAGAGAAAAACAAATGCAAAAAAAAGAAAAAATCAAGTATACGCAGCGTCAGACAAATGTAGTTGTGCAGAAGCAGCAGGAGCAGGAGCAGCAGCAGCAGCAGAAAAAACAGAGAGAAGGAGCTCATATTTGTGAAATTCCATAAAGGCAACGCGGTGGCACGTGTTGTTGTTGTTGTTGTTGCCATTCTTATTGCCGATGTGCATAATACAGCAAATTGCATTAAAATGAAAGCTGCTGTTGCTGTTGCTGATGTTGCTGTTGCTGCTGCTGCTGTTGCTGATGTTGCTGCTGCTGCTGCTGTTGCTGCTGCTGTTGCTGCTGCTGTTGCTGTTGGCTGATTCGCTCTTTAAAGCGCTGAAATTAAAAATTAAACTTAAATGAGTTTTGTTGCAGGCCGTCTGCAGTCTGATTTTTGTTGTTGTTGTTGTTGCTGCTGTTGCACGGCTGGTGGTCGCCGCATGTCACGTTGACTGCGGTTATGCTGAAACTCACCTTGAATTGCAGTCAGCTCTGCCCGCTGGCAGCTGATGCTGCGGCCAAAAAAACCGCACTTTAACAAAAACAAAAAAAAAGTAAAAAGTAAAGAAAATAAAGAAGAAATTCAGCAACGAAAATCTTGATGCAATTATTCATACACACAAGCACACACACACACACAGACAATCGTGCACACGCACAGTCAAATGCTAAGGCGAAGGTGTGTGCCCAACGGCAACAGCTGCCAAATGGACTGAAATGGAGCAGAGCGGAGCGGAGTGGAGTGGAGCGGAGGTGGAGGTGGCCTGTAGAGCGATTTGCGATGCTCGCAATTGACTGACAGTTTTTGGCCCAGCTCAGGCGATCCGAAATGCGAAATTCATTTGTCATGCTTATAATTGTCTCACTCGCAGCAAATTGCAGCTTTTTGGGGGCAGCCGATGAATGTTTGGGGCCGGCAATTTTAATGAAATCGTTGCAATCCAGGCGAACCGACAGAGACAGACGGAGGGCAGGCGAATCGGCCAGTCGGCGGCCAGCCTGCACGTATCTTAACCAATTCTGGCTGCGTTGGCCCTGGCCAAAAGCGCGCCTGTGTGGCCAAGAGCGAGTCGGCCCCGAATTGCTGTCAGTAATTATGCTTAATTTTTTGTTTGTTGTTGTTGTTGTTGTTACTGTTGGCGTCTGCTGGCGCAGTGAAAGGGCATTTGTGGCAGTTGAAACATTTACTTTTATATATTTGCCGGACTCGACGCGATTCGCATTCTTTGGCAACAACATTTTGCGGGCCTTTGTGTAGCTGCTGTTTTGGCTTTGTATTAAGTTGTTTGCCAGCTGCTGCGTTTGCAGTTTAAAATTGAATAATGAACGCTCATTTGCTTTTATGACATTTCGATAATGATGATTGTGTGTGCGAGTGTATGTGTGAGTGCATAATGCCTTTGTTGTGGCATTATCTTTATAAGGCAAACAAATTGTTGTTATTTGGCCGCAAGCGCGACTGATTGTGAGAGTCGGACAGACAGCCTTAAGCAGATACAACTAAAGATACAAAGACAGATACAGATACAGATACAGATACACTTCACCACAAGTCATTCAGCTGGATGCGCGAGTAATTCAATGCGTTGAGAAATCGTATAAATCTTGCACTTTAATTCCCAGGCAGCCGCCGCAGCGCAGATCAAAAGTAACCAAAAGTCAAACAAACTGAAATCGATCATGATTGAAATCGAGCAGAGCTCACACACACACGCATGCACACACATGCGTAAAAGAGAGAGAGTGAGCGAGAACTACTTATAAAAAATACAAATAAAAAGCAAAAAGAGCAAAGTCATTGTCAGCGTTGCGCTTGGCTGCGAAATCAGAAAAGCAAACAAAACAAAAGGCTGCCACAGAATGTGGCCGAGACGCGACGAGAGCCGAGAGCCGAGCCAAGACGAGGCCGTATCGGAGCGCGCCGGGTCGCGGCTTTAATGTGTAACATGTAGCCCAGTTGCCGGCGTGTTGTGGCGGCCCATTGCTCTTGTTGTTGTTGCTGTTGTCGTCGCGTCGTATTTATTTTCATTTTGAAGACATTGTAGTGTCATTTCAGCAACGACTTGTCCAGCCGACCGCAGCATGAAAGCCAAATAAAAAGCCAACATGCGAGTTGTCTATCCCTGTCTCACTCTCTCTCTGTCTCCCTCTCCCCTTCATGGGCTCGACTGCAGCCCAAACTAAAGCAATCTCATTGAATCCGTGTAACAATCCAGCAGTGCAGCAGCTTTTAATTAAGCCAAAGAGCAACTGGTTGCCCCAGCTACGATGCCAACTGCCGACTCCATTTCGTCTTGGACTTGGCAAAACAAAAACAACAACAGCAACAAAAAAGCGACGAAGACGAAGAAGAAGAAGCCGAAGAAAATAATTTATCTGCGCGTAAGCCGCGCGTATGTATCTGTATCTGCGGCCGTATCTGTATCTTAAGCCGTATCTGTAACTGCAATATGTATCTGCGCGCCTTGTCTTGCTTGATTTTCTGTTGTATCTCAACTTTTTTTCCTCGATTCATTTTTATTTTTTTCTACTTTATTTTGGTTTTGTTTTGTTTGTTTAAGTCTCTCACGAAGCGCTGCCCCGCTGAGCGTCAACACCCCAGCCACAGGCAGAGCTACAGCCGGCGTCGCAGTCACGGCTATGGGAGCCACTCAGTGCCTGAGCTGCTCCCCTGCCAGCTGGCCCCTCTGCCTCTTCTAGGCCCCGCACAGCATCACGTTCATGCGTGGCCAGAGATTTTTTTTCTGCTGCTGCTGCCTGGCTGGCTGCGTTTTGTTCGTTTTTATGGCAATAATTGCAACTTGATGACTTAATTGCGGATGCAACTTGTTTTCCAACCTCCTCGATGCGAATGGCAAACGGCAGGCGGCAGGCGGCAAACAGGAGGCGGCAGGCGGCAGGCGGCGCATGGCCTGGAAATTGAATTTTTCCACCTGGCGTGGTACGGGCGCGCTTTTAAGCAGGATATGCTTTCATTAATATAGATGGTCTAGTGCAGCGGGGCATGCGGGGCGCTTTGTTATGTTTCCCTCATTGCATAAGCAAATAAAATTTCATTAATATATGACTGCCAGAGGCGGCCAAGCGATAGAACCAAACAGCCCAGCAGCAGCCTAGCAGATCCAGCAGAAAAATCTCTCAGTAACGATTCCTCCTGTGCGGACAGACCAACTCCATTAGTTCGAGTTCGAGTTTTAAAGTTTATTTCGTTTCTCGTTGTTTTTTTTCTGGCTATTTTTATAATCGTAGCAACGTGACATTTATGCGAGTGTTCATGTAAATGATTATTACGTGCCGACTAGAGCCGGTCCCTGCCTCTGCCCGATCTCCGCGACGCGCCCAACACTCGGAGTTGTTTGCCAAGTAGATTTCATGATTTATTGCCAGCTGTGTTGTGTAGCGCAGTGCTGTCGCTCAGTCTGTCTGTCGCTCTGTCGCTCTGCCTCTCCGTCTCTTTGACTGTCTGACTGCGCCAAAGTAATTTTACGTTTAATTAAAAAGTATTCTGCATCATTTGCCTGAGCTGCTTTGATGGACATTTCTGCTATTCACGCCGACTCTCGCTGTTGTTGTTGTTGTTGTTTTGCTTATAGATTTAATAATAGTTAACATGATTTCTGAAGTTGCGGGGTGCCCATGTCTTGTGCCGTGCACGACTTTGATGTTCGCTTTTGGTAATAACTAAATATGTTATGCGTGGGCAACATATTCAAATCAGTTTGACATGAGTTGCAGCTAACTGCGCGCTTCAATTTGCCTCTCGTGGCGGCAAGGGGGCAAGCGGCAGCGGCATGGGGAGAGGAGAAGTCAAAGTGGGCAGACATGCGATACGGCATGAGAGCCAAAGATCCTCAAGGTACTTGACAGGCGCCAAGAGGATCGAGAGATCGAAATTATCATAAGCCTCTCGATATGAGCAGGAAACTGCGATTATGTTTGAGTGATCTACAACAGTAGTTGAATTGACTTGGAGATATCTTTGTGCATTTGCATAACAAGCTGATTAGAGTTATTGGAGAAGATGTTAGACTATATATATAAATACAAGATTAGCAACTGGGCTAAAACCATTCAAATTCTTCCATAAATTCCTGGTAGAATATCAACATAATTTATTTACCTTTTATAATCACTGAGGATGTCTTTATTGATTTAACTGCCCGCTAGAGTCTATAATATTTAGTGTTTAATGAAAACGCACAACCCAAAGAAAAACAATTTAATTAACATTTTCTGTATTCGCTTCTTTTTCCGTCTCATTCCAGGTAAGTCTGAAGCAAGGCAAAGAGCCGAAGAAGAATTTCATATCCGCAATAAAATCGAAACGTTTTGTCTGACGTGGTTTAAATGTAAAAGTAAGTGGCTCCCAGAACAACTGCAGAACAAAACTTCACATTCGATAGCAGCAGCAGCAACAACAACAACATACATATACATATATATATAAAGGCAACCAAAATTGATAAGGCCCGCCCCGCTTCGTATGCAGTTTAAAAACTCATTTAGTGTCCAATCAAGCGACCATAAAATAAAGTCAATAAATCAAGCATAAAAGTAACAAATGCACAGCCAACACTCAGATAACACACTCACACGCACGCACACACACACACACACACACATGCAGCGCTGCATTTCAATAAAATTCGATACGTTTTGGGGCATGAGCTCTCGCGTCCCGAGCACCTTATCAAGGTGTGATGATCACTTGCGTGCCAGCGGCGCCTGACTTGCATTTCAGTGAGGCCTAACCCCGCCTCACCTCACCCCGACCCGTCCCGTCCCGGCCCGGCCCGATCCACCTCCAACTCCTGCTCCACACGCTGTGCTCTGGAGAATCAATAAAAATAAATCGAAATGTCACAGCGCTGCATGTTTTTAATAAGTGTGGGGTCCCGCAGCTCCAGCTCGATTGTGACTCCGACTCCGACTCTGATGCGGAACTGTAAATGACATTGCAGACAGTTCATTGGAACTGAGCTAGCTCTGAGCCGAAATTAACATACTCGCTTCTAGTATATTGATTTCAGTGCAGACGTTATTAGACGTTAAAACATATTGAATTACATAATGTTGGCTCAAAGAAAGGAAAAAATGAAACAAAAGCAAAAGACATGCAACAATCAATTGAATGTGCGCATAAATTCCAAAATGAGTAATGTGACACAGCCGCGGCCGTTGCCGTTGCCGTTGCCTCGGTGCGCGCCCAGCCAGCGGGTGGGCAGAGACGACTGCAGACAAGAGTTGTTGCCAGGTTTTCTTCTCTTTTTATTCTGCTATGCCATGCGAAAGGGTATTAACAGCTAGTCGAGAAATGTGCAACAATTGGAAACGTTTAAAGTTGGGGATATCAAATATTTATATGAGATTGAA